GTTAAGCGAACTGGGGGACTTACGAAAACTGCAGACAGAGGGAGCGATATTGGCAGCCGAGTTACAAAAGGGCATCAATGAGGCGGTGACTTTCACCAGGAAGTCCACCAACACGAGCAACGTACTTAAAGGCCTGATACAGAACATTAGACAGCAATACCGTAGGATGGAAAACCACCGCCTTATGGCCGAAAATAAATGGTCAAAGTATGTGGGGGGGTTACAAGTGGCTTCGATTAATAACGCGGATATACACGGGTCCGGAGGGAAAAAGATCAGCAAGGCAACGGGCATGTCGCCCAGAAACACGCGAGATGCGGCAACCAGCACGGCGACAGGACAGAAAGCGAGCCCGGAGAGGGGAACGTACGCGGGGATAGTGGCCAGCGGGAGTACTCGAGGAGAACCAGTGGTCATGCTCGAGAAAATGGAGTTACCGTCCCGGAACAAGGCAAGTGTCACGGAACGTATCAACGAGGCCAGAAGTAAAAAGGTGAGATTGGTGGAATCGGCCAGGGCCGAAAGGGTATAAAAAAATGTCAGAGAAAAAATTTGATTGTTACTCTCGTTATTACTTATGTACATTTATTTTGAATGATTTTATCATTAATATCACGTCCGTTGACAGAAATACATTTTGCTGCTCGACTTTGAAAAATGTAACTCTTTCAGGCGACAGGCGAAGAATTTTGGAAACTGATGGAAAATGCAGGCTTTCAACTTGAACCGCATCTGGTAAATACTCCTAATATGATGGGGTAAATAACAACATGCATTCTCTGCGTGATTTCGGCGATCAAGATGAAGAACTCGTAAATAAGTTCATGGGCGAAAAGTTTCATCAGATTTTGGCAAAAAAATTAAAGATGACGAGGAAAAATTTAATCACGAATTAAGCAAATATTATGGCCCAGTATGGTCATTCATGCCCGAGTGTTATAAAATACTGGGTGGCCATTCAAAAACATTGAGAGTTGTGTCTGACAAACTGCGCAATACTTACTATGGGGAAAAACATGGGACTCGGAGTAGCGGTGTAACAAGCAGTTTGCCTTCAACTCGATCTTTAGCAACTTCGAACGCTTCGGAGACAATCGCAACATCCAAACATGACGAGGAACGAAAGAAGCTATCAAAAGTTGTCAACGAATGGATGTCGAAATCGAACTTTGGAAATTTTGATACCTCTGCTAGAGTTGAAGAGATTACCATCGCGGAAGATGGGGTGGGCTCTTTTATCGCTATAATTTCCTGTCCTACTTGCAATGAAAAGTGCAAAGTTAGTAAGAACCGAGGGAGATGGACCGCTTCAAATTTTTATCGGCACGTGGAAAGGAAGCGTATAGTTGGTGCTGCAAAAGAAGTGATGAAGAAGAATCCAAGGACTGTGATCAGCATGTTTCTCAACAGTAAACCCTGTGCTACAGTACCTAACGCACCCTCGGACGCAGCTCGGAAGGACACGTGCCATGTCGTAGACTCCAATCCTGAACTTTCTCGTAGCCAAGCTCCAGTTACTATGAGCGGCAAACCCGAAAGCAAAAATTCTGAAAGTATCAAAACTCCGGGCCGAAATCTGTCTAGACTCGGATGAAGACGAATGTATTCCCATCAGTCAGAAACGTAAGAAAATGCAGCCCATTCCTGAAGATGAAGATGACACTGAAATAATCGCGGAAAGAATAGAAGATCAAAATTTTCAAGCAGAGAGGAAGTAACGGTGACCAGCCTTCCTCAATCGAAAATAAGAGACTGGTCACAATATTCACGGTTTATTTCCCAATAATTCAGCAAATAGACAAAATGTTGATGGAAAATCTGCAAATTTATTGCTTCGCATCAATTGGTTTTTACAGACGAAACTTGGATTTTTCAGAACGGTACTATTGGTCGTTCTTGGCAAGATGATGATACACGAAGTGTAAGGAGTCTTAAAACAGATGGGAGAAGGTAAATTTTACTAAAAGTTTGTGTTATGTTGCGATGTGTCGGCTGTTGCAGATATATTGTCGTTCATGCTGGTTGTGAAGATGGGTTTATCCCTGGTGCAGATTTAGTATTTGCTTCAAAAAGTGCAACTGGAGATTATCATGGGGAAATGAACCAAGAAAATTTTATGCGTTGGTTTGAAGAAAAATTACTGAAGAATTTAGAAAAACCGTCAGTGATTGTGTTAGATAACGCACCTTACCATAATACATTGCTCACGAAGATACCGAACACTTCGTGGAATAAAGACGACATTAAAGTGTGGTTAACTGATCATAATGTGCAATTCTCCGAAAATGATTTTAAAGCCGAACTGTTGATAAAGGTTGCACAGTAAGTACGTCCGCAAATTGTTTGATATTATCTAAATCTTGGTTGATACTTTTAGGAATAAACCAGCTAAAATGTACCGCATTGACCACTTAGCCGAGTAATACGGTCACTTCGTTTTACGTTTACCACCCTATCATTGCGTTTTAAATCCTATCGAACATATTTGGGGCATAGCGAAAAATTACTACAATCGACACATTGGTAGGGATGGAAGAAGCATTGAAAATTGCATGAACATGTGGCAAGAAGCACTACAATCAATAACGTCCGAAACGTGGCGCAATTAAGCATACGGAAACTGTAATAAACGAGTGGTACCAAAGAGAAAAGCAATTAGATTTTGAAAACGTTGCTCCTATAATTATAAACCTTGGAAACGAAAGCAGTTCCGATAATTCCGATTAACTTGAATATCGTCACATAACCTGTAAAATTTTATATTTAGTACTTTCTCTATATAAGAAATGCTACGTTTGTACCGTTCATATTTATTAAGTATATTGAATGTATATTATGGTTCCAATTAACGAAATGAATAATAAAAATTATTTTTATTTCATTTAAGGTGTGAATTGTTCACATAATACACTGTCTTGTTGACAAGTGACAAAACCTAAATCGGTCAAAACTAGATGTGCTTAGTAATTACGTCATAGAAAATGATGACGTACAATGGAAGTTATACGGAATACAGTGTACATGTGCTAGCGTTCACACATTGCAAGTTTCTGCATCGTGTGAACCCTACTGCGTAAGTTCAGTTTCCAAAGTACAGCAATGAAGAAACGTGTGTTATACCGATTATACAAATGTGTATAGAAGTAGGGGAAGAAAAAGAAATCCAAAAATTAGAAAAAGGAAAACGAATATATTTATATTTATATTTGTATTAAATTGTTTGTGGTTTCCACAGTCCACTGAATTATTTCATTATTTAAATTTTGCTATGACGAAAGAACACCAAACAATTTCGCAACACGTATTCGGTACTCTTCCAACAGCTCGTAAATTTGTTAACTTGCGAAAAGTGCGAAAAATGTGGCGTTCAAGCGATGCGTTTTACTAAGCAACGCAAGCTAGATCGAGTGGGTGGAGTCAACTTGGCGCGGAGACCGAAGCGAGCTCTACTAAGGCCACTGCACTAAAGCCGAATTTTACACGTGTCAAGTAGCTTAAAGCAAGTTACTAAAGCCAAGTAAGCCTAAAATTTGTCCTTTCGTTTTAGTGAGCGTTTACATGATTTGTTGTGTTAGTGTTGATGTAAACATGGCCGGAAAAAGTTACGCGTGCCAACCAATGCGGAATGTATATTAAAAGTATGTGGCGAATTAATCCGAAATACTGCAGAAGAAATGAACAAAATCCAAAAAAGAAACGTTGCTGGGTAGAAAAATGGTTGAGGTCAAAGAGAAATATATGGTGCTTCATCTACTTTATTAAGAGAATTAGCCAGCTGAAGACGTGCCAGATATATACAAATGGCTGAGGATGTCTAAAGAACATTTTGATATATTGCGGCTCAAATTTGTCCTCAAATTACGAGAAAAAAAACACTGTAATGAGATCGTCTATTCCAGCTAGGATAAAACTGGAAAATCACATTGTCTATTTAGCCACAGAAATATGTTACCGAACTTTGCAGAGGTTATTTCGTGTGTCAACACCTGCAAATCGCCACATTTAGACCCGAAGGTGGTGATGGTATTTATGGGCTAGTTGAAAATTCATTATAATTCATATTAAAGGTATATTTTAAATATTTTATTACGAAAAAGTTGTTGATGAACAAAACATTTGTTAAATGTTGGAAAAAGCTTTTTTGTTATTATCTCGTGATTCGCTAAACAATATCATCGTCAACATAGTTATATTTGTGGATCCATCGCTATGCGAAGAATGCATGTCGCGAATTACTTGCTAGGGGAACTGCAGTGTGCGTGTATAGATGGAAGATGCAGGCGTTAACACTACTGGTATGTGCAGGATTGTGTTCCGGTACTGGATTTACTCTGGGCCTGGAGGTCTTGTAGTTTAAAAACTTGTAAGAAGAGACTGAATGCGGGTCCTGTTGCTTTGTATGGCGGAATTGAAGGAGTTAACCGCGCGATTAACCCTAATCCGGTTAACGTGTGTCCATCGGACACATTTTCCATTTCTGATAATCATATATTTATTTCTGTAGGACCTATACCCAAATGTCTTTACGACTTCCTCCACCTACAGATATGTTACAAAAATACCAACCTTGATTATGAATTGCGATTATAGTTTTTAAAAAATCTTACTTTTAAAATAATTTTACTTTATCCGGTCAACGTGTGTCTATTGGACACTTGGTCTTAACACTTTGAGAAGCGAGCGTTTGTGGTGTTACAAAGCGTTTGTTTGTTTTGTGAAAAGGTGCTTACGTGTTTGTTTATAATAATATTACATATTTTTATGTGTACCGGAAGTGTGCTACTACTAAGGTAAGGTTTGTTACTACATAAACCGTTTTACGGAATATCACGAAAGTTACAAAATTTGTTGTGTGATTTATAACCTCATTGTTTTTCAATTTGCGCTTCTGATGATTTTATTTATTAGATGTGAGAACGTGGTGATAAATTTTTTTTTTCTACCGTTCGTTACATCTTTTCAAACAAATAATAATTGAATGATATTACCTTATTTTAGAAATGGATGCCGATCAAAATAGACCGCTCAGTGATAAAGAGTTGCGAGAAATAGTTGCGAATTTGGCCAACAACATTTCAGACAGCGACCATGAATCAGAACTTGATATAGAAGACTCTACTGATGAAGAAAGTAATCACGAAAGCATAGCGTCCGAAGAAGATGATCTACAATCAGAATCTGAGAACGAAGAGAGTGATGCCTTACTCATAGAAGAAGAGTCGGAAATCTTTACTGCAAAGGATGCAACTGTGTGGTCTTCATCTCCCTTGCCAACAGGTCGCGTTCGTTCTACCAATATTCTCAAAGGCGCTGTAAATAAAGTGATATTGCCTCCTGGAAAGATACTTGAAGAACCATTAGATTCGTTTCTCCTCTATATGGATGATTCCATAATTGCCGATATTGTAAGGTTTACTAATAAGGAGGGAAATCGTGTCCGTGAATCCAAACCTAATCTCAAGTGGAAAGATTGTGACATTATTGAAATGAAGGCCTTCTTCGGACTATTGATTACAGCAGGTCATTTGAAACAAAATCATACCAGCTATGAAGTTCTATGGAGTGCTTTGTATGGGCCCCCAATTTTTAGAGCTACTATGGGATTGTCGAGATTCAAAAGTATCATGAGATTCATGCGATTTGACGACAAAGAAAGTAGGAATGAACGCAGAAAACGTGATAAGTTTGCGCCATTTCGAGAAATTTGGAACAGACTGAACAAAAACTTTGGAAAATATTATATGCCAGGAAAGAACCTCACTGTAGACGAGCAACTCATTCCATTCAGGGGTCGATGCCCATTCATACAGTATATGCCAGCAAAGCCAGACAAATATGGCATGAAGGTGTGGTGGTTGTGTGATTCCGAAACAGCGTATCCCTTGAATGGTATCCCATATCTAGGAAAAGAAGGAAACCAAAGAGCGCAAGGGTTAGCTGCAAAGGTGGTGGAATTATTATGTCAGCCCTTTCATCATACGAACCGCAACATAACATGTGACAATTACTTTACCGACCTAAGTTTGGCACAGTCATTATTTTCTAAAGGATTGACCATGGTTGGTACAGTCAGAAAAAACAAGAGGTTTATTCCTCAGAAGTTTTTACAAACAAAACGTACCAACTGGGAGACTTCCATCTTTGGATTTACCAAAAATTTCACTTTGGTCTCATATACTCCAAGGCCTCGTAAATTCGTTATTCTTCTGTCCAGCATGCATTACACGCCGTCGATTGATGAGACTAATAATAAACCTGAAATTGTCAGTTACTACAACAAAACAAAAGGTGGTGTGGACCTGCTGGACCAACTTGTCCATGAGTACATGTCTAAACGAAAATGTAATCGTTGGCCCATGGCATACTTTACTAGTGCCCTAGATTGTTGTGGAGTTGCTGCGTATGTAATTTGGACTAAGCTTTATCCCCAATGGAATGAGAAAGTAAACTACAGACGTAGGCTTTTTTTAACAAGTATTGCGGAAAGTTTAGTAAAACCTCACATTTACAGACGAAGAGAATGTCCTGGACTTCAGAAACGCACTAGGAAGCTGATAGACCAATTTCAAAATGACAAAGAAGTAGAGAGTGCACGTACTAATGAACCTGGTCCTTCCAAGAAACGACGTTGCCATATTTGTCCAGCGAAAAAAGCTAGAACACAAAAACAGATATGTTCGTTGTGCAATAAAAATGTATGTAATGAACATTCGACCACAAAAAGGTCATGCAATGAGTGTGACAATGTAGACTAAGCGATATATCTCCTTATTGTATTTTACGTAGAAACAAAACCTTGTTTACACTTTGTTTTATACTTGCGAACACTTGAATAAAGGAATTTGCTTTCATTTTGTTGAAGTAATTACCATCTCTACTATCTGGAGAGTCCATAAAACGTGGCAAAACTGTACTATTTGGAGTCTGGTATGCCGGTGTCCGATGGACACACCTTAACCTTTTACGTTATGAAATCGGGTTAACCGGAGTAGGGTTAATTGTGCAGCGACACTGCGACCAAAAGCTATGTATTCATGCTCATTGGCAGGTTCATGTGTCATAGCTTCGCTTATTTTTTTTAGGTCTTTAACTACTGCAGTAACTTGCCTCAATTTTGACGTAGTTCTACTTTTACTTCCTGAGACCTTTCGTTTCTTGCAGCGATTATTTCTTCTTCATTTTCTCGTTGTTGTTCATCAACTGCTTCTTCGCGTTGTATCTAAAATAGAAAAAATATTTGTACCGTATTAGCCAAACTCAAATACTTGTAGGTAATACTAATAATACAACCAGCAGTAAATTTTATAGTGTACCCACTCCTGGGTAATCACTTCCAGCGTGCTCATTAAAGTAAATTCTCGGTGAGAAATGGTCGTGCGTTCACAAATCAAAAAACCTTGAGGGAGTTTGTCTTTAATACATACAAAATGGTTAAATATCATAAATGATAATAATTAGTTTGAAATGATTAATACGGCCTAAAGCATGCTCCAGACTCTGCATTAACGTACAATGTTTGATAAAAAAATGAGATATTATAAAACCTCCTTTATCTGATTCATAAAGGACTTGCAGAAGTGGAAGTAGGTATAGCTGTACTTGATTATGTATGTACGCAGTAATCAATTGCGCGACTCACCAAATACAAGTTTAAACTGGTCCTTTAAGGGTGATTACTTTTTTACAGTTGTGGTACCCAAAACAGGTAGCTACGGTTATATATATTTTTGGTGTAGCAGTAGATTAGGTTAAGCCCAGTCGCTTTCTCTTTTTTTATTATTGACAAATATTTAATTGCAAATCTGCCCTGAGCGCTGGTCTTGTCAATACGGCATTTTGCAGGCAAGTCCTTTATCTTTCAATGACATTCTATTTGGTATAAATTGGGAAAACCGTAAAACGTAGCAAGTATAAGAATACATCCTGATTTGTATGCAACAAAATATACGTTTTATTGCTATAAATCTCGCTGTTTCTCAAAAAATTAACTTAAATTAAGTAGCAATACACTGAAATGCTACATTAGGTGCCGCCGTGCCGGAGTCCCAAGAAGAATGGAATGTTATTGAGAAGGGATTTCGTTTGAAGTGGAATTTCCCTAAATGTTACGGTGCGATTGATGGGAAACATGTGACGATTCATGCACCGGCAAATTGTGGCAGTGAATTCTTTAATTATAAGGGTACTAACAGCATTATTCTGTTAGCTCTGGTAGATGACACTATTGTTTTTCCTACATAAATGTTGGATGTCCTGGAAGACAATCCGCTGGTGGAGTTTTCCAACAATCGTCTTTATTTGAAGCCATAGAGAATGGTTTATTACCAGATGGTGGTTTCATTGTAGATGACGATGCATTTGCGCTGAAAACTATTTGATGAAACCGTATTCAAACGTAGCACTTTCGGTAAATCAGAAAATATTCAATTACCGCCTTTCACGGGCAAGACGAATAGTAGAAAATGCTTTCGGAATTCTGGTTAGCAGATTTCGCATTTTTGAAAAGCCTATGGCATGTTTACCAGAAACTGTACACAAAATTATTAATGCCTGTTGCGCAATACACAATTATTTGCGAACCACTTCTCATAACACTTACACACCAAGTGGACCGTTAGATGGAGAAGATATACAAAGCGGTCAGGTTAGACTAGGTTCGTGGAGAAATGAAACTAATACTCCCTTGCCGTCAATAAGAACCTTAGGGGGTAATCATTCTTCAAGATGTGCAAGAGAACTACGAGATCGACTCTGCCAGTACTTTATGGGAGAAGGTGCGGTGCCATGGCAGGAACGGATGATATTTTGACACGGTATATCGGATTAATTACTTATAATATGAACACTACTACAATACACTTACATTGAAATTATCCTGCGTAGGCCTCTTATTATCCTCTACGTTACGTAAAAATGTGTCCATTTCCTTAAACCATTTTACACTGGGGACATAAATATCCTCCGATCCTGCTCCTGACTTCATAGAGTCCCTTATTTTCTTTTTTTCTTGAGAATAAGTTGACCTCAACGCCCGTATTTTGTTCTTGATTTCAGGTACTCGGAATCCTTCTATTCCCATGATCTCCTCAATTTCCTTATACGCCGAGTCCCGAGCTTGTTTATTTTTGTAAATGGCAGGCCTCGTATCCCATAGGCATCGCCTTTCTCGATACTCTTCTACGAACTTTATTGTTGTTGCTTCCTCCAACGAGACATTTTTAAAACACACCACAAATAAAAGAAAAATCAACGTCGCAGTCTGTACTAATGAACTCGACTAAACAACCTGTCTACACTTGTTTAGTCGGCGGTTTAATTGCTAGAAAGCAAAGGTGGGGGAGACAACTTGCTCAGTAAATAGAAATTGTTTCTATTCACTTGACTAAACATCTTACTAAATTAGGTACTTGCGCAAGTACTAAATCAAGTGGTTTACACGACGCAAGTAACTAATTGCTTTAGTAACCTGCTTTAGCTACTTGACACGGGTAAATGAGGCTTAAGGCGAATTTACACGAGGACAGTAACTAAAGCAAGTGACTAAAGCAAGTTACTTAATTTAGCGACTGGCTGCGTGTAAACGTCCGATTTAGTACTTGAGACAGTAGGAAATTTAGTGGAAATTTTAGTCCAGTAGATAGAAGAGTATTCTATTTACTAAAGCCAGTAGGTACTCCCACCACATCATTTCTTTACTAAATCATGCACTTAGCACATGTAAACAGCTTTTCTTTAGTAACAAGTCATTGTTGAAATTGAAATTACGTATATATTTACAAAATGTCCACTTTGGCACGTTGGAACGAAGATACTACATTAAAATTCGTGCAGGAGTACAGGGTTAGAGAATGCTTGTGGAATACAAAGGCGGTAATATATAAAAATAGAAATGCTCGCGAAGCAGCATTCCGAGAACTTGAAGAGGTAATGGGAATAGAGGGTTTCGGTGTTAGCGAAATCAAAAACAAAATAAAGGCTTTGCGATCTACATATTCCCAATAATTAAAAAAAATCAAAGATTCTAAGAAATCGGGAACTAGTGCAGACAGCGTGTATACACCTCACGTAAAGTGGTTCCAAGAAATGCACGCATTTCTACATTGTCTGGATAATAAAAGACCTACGCAAGATAATTTAGCGGTAAGTACATTTCTATACATAATTACAGTATTTTATAAGTGTTAACATATGTTCGTCAATACATATCTATTAATATTCAATATATCATCCGTTCTTGCCACGGAACAGCACCTTCTCCCACAAAATAATCACACAGCATGTCTCTTATCTGTCGTGCATATCTAGAAGAATGATTGCTTGTGCCTCCGGAGGTGGATCGAGGGATATTGGTAATATCATTTCTCCACGACCCTTGTGTAATGCAACCATTGTCGATATCCTCCTCGTCTATAGATCCCCTGGGCATATAATTGCTTGCAGACGTTATTCTTAACCAGTTATGGAGCGCACAACAAGTTCTAATGATTTTGTCTACAGTTGATGGTAAACATGACATGGGTTTTTCAAACACTCGAAATCTGCTCACAAGGATACCAAATGCATTTTCAACTATACGCCGCGCTCTAGACAGACGATAGTTAAAAATTTTTTGACCTTTGGTAAGCGATATCCGTGAATACGGTTTCATGAGATATTTTTTTAAAGGGAACGCATCGTCTCCCACTATAAACCCATCGGCTGGCAATAAATCATTTTCCAAAGCGTCGTATAATAATGAATTGAGAAAAACCCCTCCATCTGATTGTCTTCCATTACATCCAATATTGATGTAGGTGAAACAATAATTGTAATCCACAACGGCCATCATAATAATGCTGTTAGTTCCCTTGTAATTAAAATAGTCGCTACCACAGTTAGCTGGTGCCCGTATATTGAAATGTTTCCCATCGATTGCCCCATAGCATCGTGGAAAATTC